CCCACTCACGGATGCTCTTGCAGATGTCCTCCAGCTTGGAAGACAGCAGTTTTGGCAGCTCATGTTGAAGCAGTGTAGTCAGCAGCTCGAGCAGCGCGTTCATGCTGTCCCACCAGTGCGCTGGTGTCATGTAGCGAGCCACCAGAAACAAGGGCTTGCCGCGGGACCAAAGATGCTCCATCTGCTCCCCAACCCGGCGGCCCACCCCCTCCTGCACGCAAAAGCAGTGAGCTCTGCAACATGAGATACTACTTTGCAATGCACAGGCCCAAGGTCCGGCAGGCAGGAAAGTCAGGTGTTCCCTGCAGGGGCAGCCCAGCACGCGGGGTAAGCTCACGCACCTGGTACAGCCCACTGTTCTTCAGCTGGCACGGCAGGTCGTGATCAAAGCCATGCATCCATGGCACCCAGATGTTGATCTGCAAGGTAAGCAAGGTACTAGGCAACCTGAGTTGCCTATCCAGCGAGACACAAATTCTGCAACCCACCTTCTCCAAATTTGCCGGCAACAGAAGTGGCGGCTCTTGCTGTGTCAGCTCCTCAAACGCCGCCCTTAACGTGCCCTTCACGTGGCAACCAATGTCTATGTAGATGTCGCGGATGTCAGGCCGCCGCTGGACTGCTTCAACCAGGTTGGCCACGTGGTAGGCATGCTGCTCAGGAGTGGGCATAGGCACGAAGCAGTTGAGCAGGGGGACGCCATGCGCGCAGACCACACCAGCGACGCCAGCGATATCGACTACTCCGCGAGCGCTGGCGCTGGCACGGCTGCATGTCAAGTTGCTGCTGCAGGCGACGGCGCTGTCGCCCCCGGCATCGTCGCCATCATCACCGGCTGCCCTACAAGCATAGCGCTGCTGGGCTTCGCTTGCCAGGTCGCCCGTGCTAAAACGGTGCAGCACCCCATGCGCAGTGCAGCCAAGATAGCTGCCGCTCCACGGAGGAAAGCCTTCCAGGTTCTGCACTGTGCTGGTGTAGCTGTACTTGGCTGGCTTGGCACTGCCGTCTGCCATCACAGCAACGCGCGGATGGTCGGGCACGGGCGTCCCTGCGGGCACACGGAACCAGAGCGTCTGTGTGTGTGCATGCAAGGGCTGTGCCTTGCGCCAGACAGCTGTATAGCCTGCCTCATGCCCCTGCCACGCCCGCAGCACCCGCCTGCAAAAGCATGCCTCTTAAAGCTGGCTGTGGGCAGCAAGCTGCGACAGTCTGCCCCCAGCTTGCCCCCAGCTACAGTGCCTGCCAGCCAAAGGTGGCAGTGAGCAGCTGGCTGGAACAGCCTGCCCCAGCCCCCTGCCAGCCTCTCACCATCGTGTAAGGACGGCCGGAGGCTGAGGGCGCAAACAAGGCAGTTCATCAT